CAAACCATCCAGACGCTTGAGGACATGCTTCGAGCCTGTGTCTTAGAGCGAGGAAGTTCGTGGAAGGAGTTGTTACCCAATGTGGAGTTTGCCTATAACAACAGTTACCACTCGTCGATCAAGATGGCGCCGTTTGAAGCTGTATACGGTCGCAAGTGCCGCTCACCCCTTTATTGGGATGAGGTTGGCGAGAAGCAGGTTCTGGGTCCCAAGTTGATCGAGGACACAGTGCAGAAGGTCGCCGAGATTCGACAGAGGTTGAGAGAGGCTCAGAGCAGACAGAAGGCCTACGCTGATAAGCGTAGAAGGGAGCTTGAGTTCGAGGCAGGAGATAAAGTGTTCCTGAAGGTCACGCCGATGAAGGGCGTTGTCCGATTCGGGAAGAGGGGGAAGCTGCAGCCCCGATTTATGGGGCCCTTTGAGATTCTCGAACGAGTTGGTGTCACCGCTTATCGTCTGGCGTTACCCCCAGAGCTCTCGGGTGTACACAACGTCTTCCATGTGTCGATGTTGAGGAAGTACGTGTATGACCCGAGCCACATAGTGAACTTTGACGGGCTAGAGGTCGGGCAGAACCTGACGTATGATGAGCAGCCGGTAGCAGTTCTGGACCGAAAGGTCCGTCGGCTAAGGAACAGAGATATAGAGCTCGTCAAAGTGTGCTGGAGTCGCCACGACGAGTCAGAAGCCACTTGGGAGAGAGAGGCCGAGATCAGAGCTCGTTATCCAGATTTCGAGTTTTGAGATTTTCTGATGTATATATATATGTACTTTTTATTTTTATGTTTTAATCTAGTTCTGTAGTAGGAGTTCTGGCCTAACACCTTAGTTTTGTATTTCCGAGGACGGAAATATTTTAAGGAGGATAGGTTGTAACGCCCCAAAACAGTAATTATATTCAAAACGGTTTCACTGCTCGACTATAAGTGAAATCCGTAAGTTTCAAAAATTATCGAGTTATATTATTTATGCTAAATGCTCAAACATGATAAATTATTCTTTGAATAATTCTATCTCAAGTACAAGTTGATATAGCCATACTGCTGCATAACGGTTAAATAACCATAGCGGTTCGAAACTATCAAGTCGACTTCAACACAGTCGGCTCCGCCAGTAAGGTTCCACGACATTCAGTC